GACACACACAGAGTGAGCTGATACTGTGCTGTCCTCAAGGCTAGTGCGGGACACAGTTTTAAACGCCAATACCTTGCACATGGGGTGGCGACGAGACACAGATTTAAACGTGGAAAGTGAACGGCTTCCTTTGACGGTGTCGCTGCATCTCTGTGGCTTTGTACCCACAGAGTCATGGGCACAGATGTTCAAAGTCTGCCCATGGACGCGGGGCTGGGGTAAGTGTCCACCTGTCGCCCCCATCCCCGGGTGAGCCTTAGGGCTTGGGGCTCATCTCTGGGTTGGGTTGGGCACCCACGAGGGGCTGGTCGTGGGATAACGTCTGGTCCCAGCTCAAGGTCACCGTCTTTGTTCCCCTGGGTGACAACAAAGAGGACAGGCAGGTAAAGTTGCTGTACCTCTGCCATCCCCTTGCTAGCCTGAGTTAGCCCCAGCCCTGCCTTGGGGTGGGCCAGGGCCCCCCGGAGGCACCTGTCGGATCTCCGGCGAGTGAGCCCTCAGCGTGCTGGGGGCGTCATACACTCTCCGATGCCACCCAGCCGACACTGAGCAATGTCATAATCTGGGATTATGGCCGAGGGGTTAGGGGTCAGAGATTAACCGGAAGAGCGTGTGAGAATAGCTCGGGCAAACAGAGAGTTCATTATTAACCTCGTCCCTGTGTCCCCATGGTCTGGCCTTCACTGCTGTCACACAGGCTAACTGGTATCCTCGGTTCTATTAATAAACCCCGAGCGCGCAGAGCTTTCTGCATCATCTGTACAACTACTTTATACCCCCTGGGTTTGCCACGCTGTTCTCTTACAGCTAGGAAATGCCGGTTAGTGCTACGGCAGGGTGGGACGCCGAGGCAGGAAGCCCCGGGCAGCTAAAAGGTGGCAGTGAGGCCCGTGACCGCCGGAGTCAGACCTGGGTTCCGTCCCAGCTCTGGCACTCGGCGGCTGCGTGACTGCAAGTGCGTGCCCCGGTCAGTCCCAGCGTGCCGCCCAGTGCCCTCACCCAGGTGTCCCTCACGTTCCAGCCTCGTGCCCAGCTGCGGATAACGGCGCCAGGAACCAGCTGACTGCAGAGTCGAGACTCACTGGGATGCACAAACGTGAGTCCGTTTTACTCGTTCTAACCATCGTCCCCTCACTCAGTAACATCTCAAGCAGGTTCTTTTACTTCCTGAGACTCCACAGTTAATAGATCAGTTTTGTTTGAGAACGTCAGTCTTCTTTCCTCGTCAAAGAACGGCCTTTCTGCCAACCCCAGCCCTGCACAGAGCTCTGCCCGTCCCGTACCTGGGCGGCATCCCGGCTCCCACCCCTCCCCTACTCCTGGCTACCTCACCATGGGGGATGAGCAACCCTGAAGTCCTTTCAGCAGCCTCTGTGTGCCACGAGGAATTGGGGTAGGTGTTCCCACATTTTGGCCTTCCTGGCTACATGACACTCCTCTGATGAAGGCTACTCCCTACTTTGTAATGTGGAGGAAATAACCTCTATGTTAGGGGTAATCGTGGGGACCTAGTGGGATTACATAAAGCCATTGGCCCAGGTATTAGAGCATTTTGGTTAGCCCAGGGCTGCCATTTACAGTTGCGCAAGCTGTACACTGCACAACTCCTGTGTCATTTGCCTTGTAGTCACAAGAGATTATATTTTATTACATCCAAGGTCCCTTAAACCCAGGCCACTGTGAAGCGGGTGAAAGAGGATGCAGACTCTGGGAGGCTGAGGCGGGCAGATTGTTTGAGCTCAGGAGTTCGAAACCAGCCTGAGCAAGAGCGAGACCCCGTCTCTACTAAAAATAGAAAGAAATTAATCGGACAAC